GAAAAAAATTTGTTTTTTTTTTGGGGGGTAGGGGGGGGGGGTGGATTCTACAGGAAATCATTGTATTCAACAATTAAAGTTGTCATTAAATTTACCCATCTTTATATAAGGGTTCAGCCTAGTCTTAATTAGGAATCACAATAAGGAAATAAAACCTAAATTGAGTCGAAACATAAGAATTTTAAATAATATCGGAAGTGAGCCCCCGCATGAAGAGAAAATCACTCCCTCCAAAACATACCTAGTATTTCGTGGACTTTAATGGAGATGTGGTTTACGCTTATGGGTATCTTCACCCACATTTTTTGCCTTCAGATTTTGTAATACGGCTTATTGTTTCTGCATCTTTGCAGTTGATTCCTTGTGCTGTTTTTGCTTTACTAATCAAGCCAGCTACATCACATTACAACATAAATCGGATTGCCTGGGCTTTCTGTGTTTACCTGGAAGCTGTTTCTGTGCTACCTCAACTGCGCGTCATGCAAAATACAAAGGTGAAATTCATTGTGCATAAACCATGCTGATGCTGAACATTTTTTATTTTTTTATTTTTAATAAAGCTGCAGTGCATGTCTTGATGTTCTATATTTCTTGGTGACAGATTGTTGAACCATTTACAGCTCATTATGTATTTCCATTGGGTGTTGCAAGGTTCTTGAGTTGTGCTCATTGGGTTCTCCAGGTTTGACTCGTAAACTTTGTCATGGACAATTGTCTAAAGTCTTCTTCAACTTGTATTATTGCAGAAATTGCTTAAATTTCTTATCATCGTTGAATAACCCCCTCATGATTCTAACATGATAGTGAATGGCTCAATGGTGCTACACATTAATTATAATTATTTTTAATTTTAATTTTGAGTCCATGGTGTTGTTGCCATTTCTTGTAAATAGTCTGGCATGCAATTTATACCAAGTTTATGCAAAAGTAAGGTTTAAGGGACTGGTACTTTTTGAATTTTAAGACAGTAACACTGCGCTAATTAGGGAGAGAAGATTACCTAACTTCATAATTTGCTGATATAGAAAATTTGGACAAAATTATGTTTAGTCCTGCCACCATTACCGGTTATCATGATGTATCACATGTCAAATGACACCTCAATTGCTTTTGCAAATTTCGTATCTTCAAATCATAAAATATATACTAGATATTTTAAAACCAGTATATGATCAGTAGTCACTTTCAATCTTTACAAAAAAATTTATAGGCTGATTATATTTGAACATTAAATATTTCTTCAAATTATCGAACTTAAGGTAATATTGGTATACAAAGATTAAAAGTCCCCAATTTATGAACGATTAGGTCCATTGCTAGATCTGGTGTGCGTGACAAAAGTATACCCATCTCTCAAGATCATCAAAGCTGAACTCAGAAGTCTTGTGAGTGGGTCTAGTGAGTCTGTAATTTTTCCATAATTAATTACAGTTGGTCACTTCTTTATACAAATTATTCAGCTGATTATGTGCAGTTTCTACTTTCTACTTGGAAGTTTTCATGTTCTTAGACGTTAATTTTCAAGAGTTCAATGTTTCGAGCTGTCCGCTACGATACATTTGAACTTCACCAAAGTTAGATGCACAAAAGTGTGCTTTCTTTGAGATGACCAAGCAGGGACATGGAAAAGATTTTTCATCAAAAATACCATGTTAACAATTATAAATCAGTAGGCCCTTTGCTCCATTTACCAGAAATTTGTTTGTTTCTTAAAAATTAAAAATTTCCTTTTCCCTAGCCCAATTCTGGTTGCGTTTTTATGTGACTTGTTCACCAGAGTAACGTGCTTGGATGCCTCTAACAGGTGGTTTTAAATTACAAAATAAAACATGTGCCACGCTTTTGGGAATGGTTAGGATTTGCCTTTCATTCATTATGGATGTTGCCCTCGAAATCTAGCCTTAAATACTTCTATAGTTAACCATTCTACGAGGCAAGAAATGTTGAATATTTATTGTGTATTAATGCAGATCATGTTTTCTTAATGAACATGAACATATTGAACTACAGCTATCTTTGTGCTTTAAAATTGACAAGTGTTAATATTGTTCATCTGCATTTTACAGGTTTTGGACAGTCGTGGTGGCCTTCTTGTAGCATTGGGTTATGGACTGTGGCCTCCAATGGCTCTTTTATCAGAAATTGTTCAAACCTTCATCTTGACTGACTTTTGTTACTACTACGTTAAAAGGTTCACAATCAGTTTTCTTTTGGTTATGTACGCATATATACCAAGTAAATTGAGTGTTTAATTTTGATAAATTATGGCTTTCATTTTTGCAGTGTTTTCGGTGGACAGCTCGTCAATGGCGGATCTAAAGCATGGTGGGTCACTTGCCCCACCAATTTTTGGAGTTCTTTGTTATTTTTATTTATTTTTTAATGATAAAATGTAATATATCTGTCAAAGGGGGGGAAGGAAAAGTAGGAAAAAATGAAAATTGTGCATTAATGTTAGGTTATACTATTTGCAAGATTTTGACACGGGCAAATAGTCTATTGATTTGAATAATTTTAGCCTATGTTTGGTCCCCCATTTTCACAAAAATACATTTTCAACCACACATTCTTTCATAAAATAATATGACACATAAATCTAAAAATATTTATTATTTTTTAACCACGCATTCTTAAAAAAAAAAAAAAAAAAAAACAATTTCCCTCCAT